TCTGGGTCGATTGTTCAAAAATATCCTTCAGTATGTCCAATGTTAAAATATTTTGCTCCATTCTGTATTAGTAAATCAAATTTAAGTGCTCTTCTCCATTAATTGTAATCTTTAGTTCCTTCTGGTTCCCCCTAGTGTCCAGCTTTCAAAGTCTCATGCTATCACTTTTTTTTTTAAAGAGAATTCAAAACAAAAGCATTTTCCCACAGGAACGGTTCTTATAATTAATTCCAAAATCTTATTTCTAATCTGTCTGGACTCATTTGTAACTTTCCAAAATCAAAGTTCTAATCACCCTTTTGCTGTCTATTCCAAAATAATTTTTTTTCTTAAACTTGTATTTAAAACTTTTTTTGCTAAGGATTGAAGGAAACTCACCTGGTGCTATAAAACCTGTTGATCCAAAGGTTCCTAGTAGCTGAAAAGCAATTAATAAGCCATTTCTGAAAGTGATTAGAAAAGGAAATATGCGAACCCAGTGTCCTTTTGAAGGCACTGACCACAGTTTGAGCAAAAAGATGGCTATTCCTTCATCTGTCAGAGCTCTGAACCCACCAGAGGCCACTGTCTTGTGGTCTCCTCGCGAGGAGCAACTGTATGGAGCACTTGTAAGCGATCTCAAGTCCTCTCTTTGTCTGGAGAGGAATTACAAAAAGCCGGCCTACTCACTAGCTCTTCATTCCACCGCAGTCGTCAGCTCTGCTTTTAACAGAGCTGTCTTCAGTTTGCCACTTCTTCCCCGGCAGTGACCAAATCAGAGTCTTGACCTTAATCCTATGGAAATGGTGTGGAAAGACCTGAAGCGAGCAGTTCATGTGAGGAAGCCCACCAACATCCCTGAGTTGAATTATTCTGTCAGCGGAATGGACTAAAATTCCTCCAAGCCAATGTGCAAGACTGATCAACAGTTATAGGAAACATTTAGTTGTAATTATTGGTGCCCAAGGGGGGCACACCAGTTCCAGAAAGCAAATGTTCACCTCCTTTTGCCCCAGACAAATATTTAGCTTTGGATCATTTTCCTCCATAAATAAATGAACAAGTATAATATTTTTTATTCATTTGTTAATTGGGTTCTCTTTATATAGTTTTAGGACTTGTGTGGAAAACAGATCAAGGTTTAGGTAATATTTATGCTGAAATGCTGAAAATTCAAAAGGGTTCACAAATTTTCAAGCACCACTGTATGTATCTCAAAAGTCAAAAACCAAAAATTCATACTGATTATGAAGTGAAAACAGAAATGGCAGTGATACTGACCAGAGTTGGAATTCAGTTCACAGAATAGTCAAGCAGTACAAAATCTGAATGACTTTTATTTAATGTTGCATAGATGGATTTTCTGCTCCTGCAGTAGGATTTCCTCTCCACCATGCTCCCTACAAATCTGCTCCAAAAGGTCAACTCACACCAAGCAGCTTTGGGGGCCTACAATGGATAGAAGGATGCAAGATGACTTTAAATCAGCAAAGTCATGTGGCTGATAAAAACAGATGGGTGCAACCTAGTATGTGCAGATTTGAAGCGATGTACCCACTTTCAAAGATAAAATCCCAATAGGATAGCAAAAGAAGAGTGGATGCTGAGGATGTGAAGGAGAAGAAGCAGAAGAATCATTGGGATAAGGACATTTTTAATTTGGGAAAGCATTATGCAAGGCTGCATGTGTCCTAACCATGTAAAATGTTGCTAACAAAATGATTGTCTTCTCAATTCCACCTACATACTTCTCCTCCTAGCTCTTCCTTGGATTTTCTTAACAACTACACCCCAAATCATACTTGAATCTCATTTTCTTCCTAACCACCAAGAACAAGCTCAAACTTGATCTTAGCAATTTCTTTTAATATCTAGAGAAATGCTTGAACTTAAACTTTTGCAAATCTTCAAGAAATTGCTTTTTCACAATAGTGATACCCACAGATATTATAAATGAATACCTGTTCACAGGCTTAAGATAGTTGTATTTAACAAAAGTGGTTTCACATTCCAATTAATTTGAATATAACCTAATTAGTTATTTTGGCTCATTTTTCACATAATACTATTATACCAAATACACAAGCTGGAAGAAACCCAAGATCTAGATTTCTGCACTTTCTCCCTTCTGCCTTCCTACTACATGGGTGAATTACTGGTATTGTAAATATTTATTATCAGTCTCCTGAAAAGTTGATTTGTTATTTCTGCAAACTATTGGTAAGAATGTCCAGTTACTTAAAGAAGCATTTTCTCATTCTTTATAGCTTTTGAATCCTGAAGATGATTTGTTACCAGGAAAGATTAGAGACAGTAATCGTTCAACTCTTTTAGCAACAATTCAAGAGCATGGATATCCAACAATCAACTTGGGGATTGTAGGAGATAAGTATGTGCAAAATAACCCTTTGCTTATTCTACCCCAATATTATTGTTTTTATATACCTTAAAATTATGTCACCTTTTATCTCTTGGACCAGAGTTTATTTATCTGTTTGTTTTTGTTTCTTTGCTTTGAAAGCCATATATTGCTGGTAGTGATCTATGTTACCTCTATTACCAGTTATTTCACCCTTCTAATGGAAAGAATCCTATTTCCTATCCTACAGATTTCCTCAGCTAGCTTCTTTTGAGAAATGTAGTTCTTGATGGCCAGAACTTGATATTTCGGGGAAATTCCATTGTTGCTTTATTAGATAGTTTACAGAAAGCATTTCTGGCCATCACTGCAACCTGAACAATAAAGCAATGAATCCCAGAGTAGCCACTAAGCTTCCAGCATGAATAACTGAATTGGCTAAATATCAGTATGGTAGAAGTTTCTGTGACATTATACCCAGTCAAAGAACATGCTGTTTTTAAATAAGGTTTTTAGGTGTACATGGGGTAGACTAGATTAATTTTTCTGATTATAGATTTGAATCTGCTGAATGTCATTTATCATTATTATAATATTTTTCTCTTTTCATTGTTTCTTCTTTGATTACATATGAAAATGTGTTCCCTTAAATTTCCCAGTTCTTAGAAACAGTAATTTTCTCATCTTCATTTTAGTCATTATTTTAGTGTGCTTTTATTTAGAAATCATGTACATTTTTTGAACGGCATAAAGAATTTCTAGACATTCCCTTGAATATTAAGTAAAACATTTTGAACTGCAATGGATTTGTTTTAAATAAACAACTTCAGAGAAGATCTACTTTTTATTTAAGATAACTGATAGACGATGAGTCATCAGGGTTTTTATTTACTTTAGAGGCAATTATTTTTATACTGATTTTGCAAATTCCATTAAGAAAATCAGACATTAAGGTTTCAGTGTTAAAAACCTTTTAAGGCTACTATTTCATTTTTTAAAAATACATTTGAAAAGTTTCAAGATCAAGAAAGCTATAGTTTATGGAAAGACATCAAGATATAATTCGCCATATTATTTTTAATCAATTAAATAGTTCTGCTAAACATTTGTCCATTGTCTAGTTTATTTAAAGTCAGATATGTATTTGAAATCAGATTATCATTGCCTAACCAATGTGAACAAAAACATTAGTATTAAAATCAGATTAAGAATCGCACAGAAATAAGTGCTACAGAGTTGTCTCCCTATCCAAGATATGAAAATAAATGCTAGGAATTACAGCTATTTGCCACAATCCTAGTTTATATATCTAAAGCTACAATTTCATACATATTAAGGCATAGCAGCCACTGAATTTAATAGGGTTTACTTCTAGTTGGAAGGATAAAAAATGTAACTAAAACAAGAGGGTTCCTGATTTACTAGTAGTTGATACTGCTCAAGGTAAATCTGGGAATCAAATCTGCACAGCTCTGGTGAACAAGCAAGGAAGGAAACTGGGTGCAGCGGGGCATAAATTCAACTCCACCACTGCACTTCTCTTTCTCATTGCAGACCATCAGACTTGTTTAAGATACTATCAACATTTCCTCTGAGAGAATATTGCATTATTCATTTCTCATCTTCTTGATAATAAAAAAGGAAGGGGTAATTTGTTGTATACAGCAGCCTATATATTTTCCAAGCAGTAAATCAAACCTATAGCTTATTGCAGTTCCATCTCTGCCTCTCTCTGTCTCTGCTGGCTTGGCTGAAGCACAGTTCAAGTCCCCAAACTTCTACTTTGCAGTTTGTAGCACTAGAGTTCTGTGGTCTTATGGGCAACCCATTTACCCATAATTTTGATTCACCCTTGCTGATGGAATTCAGAATTCCCTAGTACATGACACAGGCAATTTGATCAGTGAATCTGATCTTTCTAGTTCTTTAAATCTCTATAAAAAACAGGATGGTTTTATTTTTTTCCACTTCTATAAAATCTTGTCTCCACACCACAGAGCTCAAGTGAGCCATTATACAGACACATACAGCTGTACAATAAGAAAAGTGCCTGACTACAAAACTACAATGTCACACCATCATCACAGCTTTCAGCAGAAGCTTTCAGCAGAAATTTATAAGCAGGAATAATGTTTTCACACCTAGATAGTTTTCTTGAACCCACAGCTCGGGGGGGGGGGGTTCCCCAAAACAGCCAGATGGATGCTCACAGCGTGTCCTGAAAATTGAAGGTGGGTGGGTGGGAAGAGAATGAACTGACATTTTTCTCCCATTTTTATATGTAATAGGGTCAAAGGGATTTTTGTTACTCCAAAAACTAGGGTATAATTTTGAGTTTTGCACTTTCTATTGGTGGTCTGGAGAAAACATAGTTCCTGCCTGGTCTGACCATTTCAAAGTTGGCAGGAGGCTAGATGATTGCATGGCTGACATCAAAATGATTTAGAGGAACTAGGATGTAGAAATGGTACCATGTGGAAATACTGTATGTTGAAAGTCTCTTTTAATGATCTCTGTAGATTCTGTTTGGGAGATGTGGTGGCTGTCCCACAGCTCAGGAATCAAGACTCTCTCTCCAAGATGCTCTCTCTCCTGGAGTCAGCATCCGAAAATACTAGTGCTCTCTGCTGTTTTATATCTCAGCAAAAGAGTACTTTCAGATAGATTATAGACTTCTTTTATTTTCCTTCTTTCTGGATGTGTTTTATATAATACTATGATACCATTATTATATTATAAAACAATTCATTATACAACTCTGTTGATCCAGTTTGAGGCAGAATTTTCAAGGGCTCCTTTATGACAGCTGATTCTTCATTAAATGAGAATTGTATTTTTGAAATGTTAATATCAGATATGATAAAAACAAGTTGCAGTGATTGAGAGAGTTAACTGAGTAAAAAGATTAAGGCAAGAGGCTATTGTAGGAATGATTTGAGGAATCTGTTAATGATCTATGGAGAAGTAAATTGGAACAGTACTGTGATAATTCAGCTCCCAAAGCCCCATCCTCTCATGCCATATTGCTTCATAATAACTATATCTTTCAAAGGAATGATATAAGTGGGTTAATATAGTGGGTTGCCAATTTTAATGAGCAAGTTATTGAAACTTTTTCATAAGGGATTAAGCACTTACATCAGCAGAAATGAGTAATCTAGCCAAGAGAGATTTAAATGAAAGTCAAGTAAAACTGTTCAGTTAAGAGTTTCTTAAAGGGTATGTTGGCTTACTGAATTAACATTAAAGCAAGTTTGTGTGTGTGTGCAGGAGAATGGTAGTATGTGAGTTCCCATCGCAGTCATATATACACATACATACATACACCAAGTTTTGATTCCTGGCGACTGCCTGAACAAGTCCCTGCAGTTTTCTTGGCAAGAGTTCAGAATTGGTTTGCCATTGCCTGCTTTCTAAGGCTGAGAGACCAAAGTCAGCCAGCTTCCTTCATTCCTAAGGCAGAACTAGAATTCACAGCCTCCCGGTTTCTAACGTGGTGCCTAACCACTACACCAAAATGGTTCTCTCAAAATAATACATGGAAGCAAGGTATTATGAATTGGTTATATGGTTTTCTAGAATATTTATTTATTGGATTATATCTCTGTTTTCCTTATTTTAATGTCACCTAATATTAACCAGAATATTAGTTAAGCTGATTTTCTGTTTGTTAGTCAGATAGACAGATATAATTAATCTAGGAAAGAAAAAGAATACCAATTTCAGAAAGGTACATTCATAACACTTAGAATTTAGTGATATTTCATAAGATAATTGGGACATTGATAACGTTCATATTTAACTCACTTTTCAGTTTAAAATCTACAATGAAGAATATAGTTAATTATCTATTTAAATTCCTCCAGTAGCAAACTATTCCACTGTTGAATAGCTTTTGCTATTAGGAACTGTCTCCTAGTTTTTAGCTGATACTTAACTTCTTATAAAAGAAGCTCCATGGGGAAAGACTAAAAACAATGGCTAAAAACTGCAGAGAACAAGCTTGCTTCATTTTCTGCTTTGCAGCCTTCCAGATACTTGAAAATAACAATCAGCTTCTCCAGACTAACTGTGGTATTGTTGTCTCAGAGCTTGTTATTTGTTTTGATGTATATTGCTTGTTCATAATGCTGCTAATTTATAAATTTAGTTCACTGTCTGCTGCTTGATAGTCTTATCTACAAATTAAGGGAAGGAACAATAGAACAATTAAATAAACATTATGTGTCTTTGATTAGGTGAGATGAGATCACAATTGATTCAGATATACTCCATCTAAAGGCATCAGAATTTGATCTTAGAAATGTGCAAATTAGATTTATTTGTCTAAGCTTAAAACATATAGGTTACGACTACTGGTATTGAGTAAGACTGATTGATGAATCTTTCTATAATTTGGTTATTGTTTAGTGATGAGAAATGGAAAGAAGAGGGTTTTTTTTTTAATTTCTGTAATATTAGAGAAGGTATTAAGTTACTGTAAATGCTTATACTTGTTTGGGGGGGGAGTCATTTTTTATATGTTTTTCTTTTTTCTTTTTCTTTCTTTTGTTCTCTTTCTTCTTTTTTGTTTGTATATCTTTTCTAATTCTGTATTAGCTTTTAGCTGTGTAAAACTCTAATAAAAGTATAAAAATAAAAAAAAAATCTGCAAATAAAATCTTGACTTCCTTGTTCCAATATGCCAGAAGTGGGGATTTCTCACTACCTAGGGAAACTTCATCCTGCATTAAGTAACAACACGAATAGTTCCATAAATAGCACATTTTTCTTATAAAGTAATCATTTTTGTTAACTAAATGAAGAATTGAACCATGAGAGGATGAAATGTCGATCAGTATTAGCAATCTGTTTTATTTGCTTTGTGCTGTGTGGAACAATCACTAATGTTGCTCTTTGGAAATTCAGTACATTTCCAAAGTGGATTTTTGAGTTGGCTGCCTACTTTAAGAGACCCGCTCTTCCCCTCTTGATCAATAGGGCTTTATTCTGGTTAAAGGATGATAAGAGGAATGTAAGCTGATGACAGAAACGAAAAGCTAGCATTATGTGTGATCTTTTTGACAAAGCTGCAATATGTAGTCCTTTCCCTTGTAACTCAGACTGCCATATCTGCATCCCATTCTGGAATGCCCCCAATCTTTGAGTAGGACTTTCCAGAAAAATGCTTGAAGTAAAGTCTCTTTCTCCCCGATCCTTCCTTCACATTTTAAAAAAATCTAACCTGAAGTTTCTCTGGTTGTCAGGTACTAACCTACATGACAGAATTTGTCATGTTATCATGACCAGAATTGTTGATGTCTTATCCATATAAAGTAGGCATGAACAGCCATTACTTATAATGGAGGGAGCATAATTTTTTTAAACAGAAGATTGGAGTTTTGAAAAATGGCAGCAATTTTATTGGTGATAACAGCTACTGAAGTGTTTGCTCTTCATTTTACCACAGAGATTTGTAAAATGTCACTACTTGTTATATTCAGAGAGTCCTGGAGCATTTTGCCTATGGGTGCATTCCATTCTCCTGTAAGGTTGGTGAGACTTCATGTACCTTTCCCCTAGAAAAAGAGGAAATGGAACTAAAATCCTGGCCCCATGTCTTCCAGCCACTGTGGTTGTTCACTTTTGAAAAAAAAAAGTTTTGAAAAGCTGCAGAAGCTTGTTTCACCTGTCTTGCAACCATTCTTGTGTATGTCTCCTTAGAAGTAAGTGTCATTCAATCCATTTCTCTAGGAATGAGTTTTTAAGATTGTGTTCTTAAGAAATTACTACCATTTTTGTTACCACATACTATGGTCCTTTACAAAGGACAGCAGTCTACAATATATAGATTTTATTTTCTATGTAAAAATAAGTTCCTTGCAAACTCATGGCCATAAATTTTAGAGAACATCAAAGAACAGCAGAATAATATTTAAAAGAAAAAAACTTTTAAAACAAAATCAAGGAAAGGGGGTTGAAATGTATGATGAGCCAGACCCTTCTTTAGACCTTGCCTTTCATATCCCTGAGTCTCACTATACTTTAATAGTAACCAAACAAGAGGATCTACAATTGAAGTCTAAGGATATGATGTAATTCCCAATAATTCAGTTGGACAAGAAAATAACTAAATATGCCATGTAGAGGATAGTTGAACCTGTAAGATGGTAGGATGAAATGCTCAAATCTTCTTTCCCAGAAGCCCTCTGAGTCTCCACATCCTGTCCCTGCCTCCTGCTTTGGAGAAGCAGCTTGCTAGTTCTTGTGTCCACCATCTTTTTTCTGGCATAATTGAGGTGTTTAAATGTTCATAAGGGGCATAGGTCTACCCTCACTGGTCCAGTGGCAGTTATACTGAACAACAAAAGGAGGGGGGAATGTAGTCAAATGGATCCCAATTGTGTTAAAAGATATACCCAAGAATTAATTCTGATATGTAAAATATTTAAAGTATTTTGAGTTTCATTTTAAAAATGCTCTATTGAAGTACTGCACTTTGGGACAACTTTGCAGTGAGACCACAATTTATCTATCTTTCATGATAAGGCCATGATAAGGATGACTCAAGTTCTACTATGAACCTTGCATCATTCAGTATAAGAGTTGATTCTCAGATTGATAAGAAAAGTAGTTGCTCTTTCCAAAACTATCAGCAGGTGCAGTGTAATGGTATGTGGGAATGACCTTGGGAGATGGGGGGAAGAGATGCTGCCTAAGGAACAGTCAGAAAAGAGACAGGATGGCCCGCTGCTGTATAACAGGCAGAGAATAAAAACTCAGAAAGGAACCTCCCTAACCTATCAAGCTATAAAAGAGAAAGCAGGAGATTTGTAGTTTCAGACTTGCAAGATTGATGTCAGCCTTCCCAGGTAAACCAGACAGGAAACATGACCAGATGAGTTAATTCTACTGTATTGTAAGGCTACATTAACAGAATCTTGCAAGTCTGAAAATACAAATTTCCTGGCGTCTCTTCTCTCTCCATTATGCAGCTGCAGGCTATGCCCCCTCTTATCTGATTGTTCCCTAGACAACATTCCCCCCCCCCGCCCAATCTCCCAAGGTCATTCCCTCATACCAACCCTTTCCCCTCCCACCCCTTTTGATATTCATGGTTAGAAACCAAGGCAGAGCTTCTGGAAGGTGTAAGTTGTACCCTACCAAATAGATTCACAATCATTTTAGAAACAATACAAATCTCTTACTTTTTTGCCTCCCTGCCAACCAGCTGATAAATAGAGCTCTGACAGAAGCAAGAGGTATTGAGAGGGGTTGGTTTTGGAAGATTTGGGAGTTACTGTGGAAGCTGAGGTGGGTGTCTGGAGACTACAGTTTCATCAGAAGGAAGAAAGAAAACACAAGTCTGAGAAGATGACAGCAAAGAGCACTAGCTGGGATGTCAGGGCAACAAATGAAGACAAGCAAAAACAGCTGACAGCAGTCTGAAGAAAAGGGAAAGCAACAAATACTGAAGTAACAGTCTGAGGTAGAGGTGAAGTTTCTTCCAGCCTAAAAAGGAATCTCAGAGAGGTAGAAGCAGAGCAACGCCTGAGAGCAATGGCTGATAAATCTTATTAATCAAAGCTCTAAGACAGTTATTTCTTGTAATCAACTACTTTCAGTCCTGGCTGATAGAAGCCTGACATTATACACGGAATGAAGAAAGGGTCATTGGAGAATATTGATCTGGATCCTGGCATCCAGGTCTCAGTAATTCAGGAAGGGGGGCAAGTGACCATCCAGAAGACTGCTTGTGATGGGGCAATGGCAAATAAGGTCAGCATCAGTTCACAATTTTTTTCTGGAATGACACACTTATCACAGAATTGTTATTTAAAAAAGAAACTTTTACAGGCAAGGGCAGCTAGGCAGGCATTTAAATGATTAAATAGGCTCATTTTATTACCTGTACCATTAAAAGATCATGTCCTTTTCTGCATCAAATGGTGCTTATTCTCAAGAAAATGTGTTTAATATCAGAACAGCAGAAGCAAATTCCATTTTAATCCAGTAGTCACAGTGGTGCTATGATAAGAATTTAAAATGTGAAACTGGAGTCTCAGAATATTTTTACCAGGATTAGATTTTTTTTTTCATTTTACTTGTTGCTTTTACACTAACATGACAAGAACAAAACTGTTCTAAAGGAATGTAATTATATAATTATGACTAGGGAAAAGGCAAAGGGTAGTTACGTAGTGCACAATGCTGATAATAAATATATGTCTGCTTAAAGGGAGCCCTCCATAATGCAGGGTCTAGTGCAAATTATCTGCATTATATTCAAAACATCTCTTAAGGTATATTGTGCCTACTACAGTGACTTAAGTTTATATATCAAGTTTAATAAAAGAGTAATAAGTGAGAAGAAATAGGGCTATGAGGTTTAACAGATCAACAGTAGACTCCTTGCTGTGGGTTGGATCTTGTCAGGTGCTGATAACACCAATCCATAGTCATATATGAAAAAAACTTCATGAAAAGCTCAGACTGAGCGGAATAGTTGCATCTAGGAGTAGTTCTGGAGTAAGAATGAGAAACCACAAATACCATGGATCTATCTTATTTTGTAGGTTCTATGCAGAATGAGACTCTTGGAGACTAGATTTTATTTCTGAAAGATATTTGGTAAATTATTATTTCTTCTTTTCCTCCTTTTCTGGCTGCTGCTTAACTTTCTCCTATATCCCATCAGTCTAAATTAGTGCAACCTGTGACATGACTATATTGCCTTCTTGAGTGTCAGCCTGAAATAGCTTATTGCAGGCAGTGAAATCTCTCTGCATTTAATTAACTTTTCCAGTACATACATAAAATTCTGGGCGTTCTATTATGATTTCTCAGTTGTCTTGCTCTTGAATATATATTCTTCCTGTGTAAGAAAATCAACAGAGTTGTATCTTTTTGTTACCTCTTCCTTTGAAGTGCATAAACTCTACACATTCATTACCATTAATCATTTTTCCTGTTGTCGTTCTACAGCCCAGATGATTTACTTAATGCCTTGAATGAAGGAATCAGCCGTGCTGATGTCATCATCACATCAGGGGGCGTGTCAATGGGAGAAAAGGTATGGGCAGTGGACACTATTAGATCAAAGCAGGTGGTATAAGATTAAATAAAGTAATGGGACAAAAACACCTTAAGGAATGATAAGTATAAGTGATAGCAGAGGCAAATCCTTGGACACCAAAATGAATCTAAAGGACCTGATATTAATGTCATCAAAAAGACAGCAGGCTTGTGGAGCTGCACAGTATTCAGAATCAGCATAGGTACCCTTTGTCTATACATTGACTGCTCCTTAGAGGACAGCTTGTTGCCATCTCCTTAACTCAAATGCATACTTTTCTGAGCCCATGGAAGTACTCTGCAAACCCTGGAAAAGATGTGGCTTCTTTAAGGAGTATCTGGTAGGTACAGAGTGCTGCCAATGCCAGATCCAAAGCAGTCTTTCCTGCTTCACATCTGAATACTGTCAACAACTGTGCAGAGTCTAAAAGCTCTGGAGCTTTCTCCTGTGAATTCTATCCTTTCTGCCACCACCATCCTGCTCTTCATAGAACTGCATGGGACAGCCAGGATAAGCTCAGAGGCTTCAAGACTATCTTCTATTCTCACTGGCATCATTAAAAGAGCCTTGGAGCTTAGAAGTCTTCTTGTAGCCCTGCTGAGTTGGATCAAGCCCTCTCTATCACCTCACCTCCCACACTGTATTACTTATAGGATGGCCTCATCCAGACTGGGAAGGCTATAGAGTCTCAGTTTTTCCTGTCTATGTAGTTCCAGTATATCTCAGGCAATTAGACATCATAGGAACTGCAGATGCTGTCCCATATCTGTATTCATGCGTATACTTTGGTTACAGTTTTACATTCTCTGATGAAGGTATATAGGTCTGCAGCTCTGCAGACAACTATGTCATTTACTGTTTGCAGACCAACAACATTTTTGTATTTAGTGCCTGTCATCAAAAAGCCAATTGAAAAACTTCTATATTAGGAACGACACTCAAATGCAAAATTAGTCATGAGCATACTGACATAGAACAGAAAGACCTAAACAAATCAATGGCTTCTTCTCAATTCTTGGATGATGTTACATGCCATTCTTTGTTAGTAGAGCAATATGTCTGATAAATCTGAAAAGAAAAAAAATTCAGATGTACTAATCAGTTCTGAAACATCTGATATCCCTCTTCATAAAGGGACAATAGTGTTCCACCATCTGATGTTGGGTAGTTACAGTTTTGTGATGCTGTTTGATGTTGTTACCAGTTTTATTATGTTGTTATATAGAAATATTTATACTGGTATCACTAAGCACCATTTGAGGGAAAAGTATATACAAATTCAATAAATTGGGATGTGCAACCTCTTTTTGCCAACTTCTGCATTTGTTGGATAATCTGTTGGGGCCTGCAGGGTGAGTAGGTTTGAAGCAAGTCTTGGGTGGAGTGAGACCCAAAATTGGGAAGTGGATGAGGACCCATTTTATTTAAAAAAAAACAACAACTTTCTGACACTCCACCCTCTCCCAAACTGTAGGTAGCTTTTATTAGATGTTTGATATGATCTTTTGTGTAGAAGATTTGAAATTTGGACTTACTGGCACATTATCTTAGCCTGCAAACTTCTGGTTGCCTATTCTTGAAATAAATGTATTATATATGTCTTTGATCTGTGCCTGGCCAGCTGTCTAGGACTGGATGATGGCTCATCTTACATATATCTTAATTAATACCTTAGAATCCCTTTTTGTTTGTCTGTCTGTTTGTTTCCAAATAGGACTATCTTAAACAGGTGCTGGATATTGATCTTCATGCCCAGATCCATTTTGGCAGGGTTTTTATGAAACCAGGGTAAGTAATATTTCTCATGTAGTGTTAGTCTTGCATATATGCTAACATCTTACTGATCATCAGCATCTTGGAAGATATTATTATTTGTGTATGTGTTTGGTTTTATTCTATTTTTACTGTATTTTTATATTGTTTTTATTGTAATTAATATTTATTGTTTTTTTATTGTGAACCACCCAGAGTCACTTTTTTGTGAGATGGGCGGTATCTAAATTGGATGGATGGATGGATGGATGGATGGATGGATGGATGGATGGATGGATGGATGGACGGACAGCTGAACAATATTGGAAGGGCTTAATGCTTTGCCCAATAACCCACAGAAAGCACGTTCTAATAAGGAATATTACATTGCCCTTTTTTCCCAAAATTATTCCATGACAAGTGCTGCTAAATAATCATACTAATTACTAATAAGTTATCTATGAATGGTGCAGAAGAGGGACATTTTACATTTCCTGTTAAGAACAGAAGAACCTGTTGAAAACAAAAGAGTAAACAAGAGGTACCAGTCACTCCAGACCTCCTTGTTGAAAAGCATGGATGCTTTTGAAAGTTAGCTTGAAGATTGTTTGAGAGGGTTGCCTGCCTGCTCAGTATTTGTAATACCTAAACAGGGCTTCTCAGTCTTTCCCTTTGTGATTAGCTCAGTTCATTTCCACATAGTTTTGCGTCCTCCCACTTTCTTTTTTTAAAATCATTTCTGTTTCCCTGTGCATCAAGTTTTGCTTCTTTTTTGCTGTTCCTACTGGAAGAAAGAAGTGGGGAGAGGTGTATTTGTGTTTTTCTGTATCTGAAAATTGGGAATTGTTGAACCTGGCAGTGAGAGAATGATTGGTATATGCAGATAGGGATCGGTCAGTTTTGTAAACAGGATACTTTATTTTACAGGCAATTCATTTTAATGAGCAATGATTCAATTAATGTAAATCCATTTTTCTCTCCTTGCCTCAAATGTGGCTTCTGGGAAATAGATATACTCATATATGCATATACATACTTAGCAGAAGAAGGATAATCTCCATGACAGGTTTCAACTGGAGTTGGCAACCAGAGGTTGGCAAAATGGAGAATTTGGACATTGCACAGGATTTGTGCTTATGTTTGTAATTATTTTTATCTACTTTTCTTTGTGGGATCATTTTAAATTCAGAGTTGTCTTCCTTTCAGGTAAATATTGTAGATACCAAAAGTTTAGCAAGATGCCTTGTCAATTAACTATGTTAATTGGCCTATGTTAGATGATGAGCAATAGAGAAAATGAAAGGGACAAAGGAAGACTGAAAGCTTATGGATTTATCATGGGATACACAAACTTCAGTCTGGAATCATCTTTATTTAACAAAACAAGAAGCAGGAAGGACTGGACTCCCCCGCTCTTTCACTTTACTAAAACATTCAGATTGTTGGTGATATGAAAGTGTCTAATGTCTAGACTACACACCACTGGGAGGAATAATTGGTCTGACCTGAATATGTTTTTGAATAGTTGTCCTGAATAGTTTTGTGTTCTTACATTAGAGCAAATGTTTGTGGCCATCAGCCCCAGAGTGGAGCATTTTAGAGCTACACAATGGTAAAAAGGTGTCATTTCCCCTTTCATTTCTTTTAAAACATCCTTCACATTGCACATGTTTCCCTTAAATATAATAAGCTGTTAAGGTTTGAAAAAGATAATTTCTTCTCCTCTTCTTTCAACATTACCTCCAGCTTCTCCAGCTTCCCCTATTTTTCTCACCCAATCAGACTTATCCGGTATTATTTACCAATTCATACAAATTGGCATTGTAGGGGTTCTTCAAATATTTTTTATAACAACACTTTCTAGTGTTGATCCAAATTCACTATTAGTAGAAATGATCAATCACTAAGTAAAATCAATCTTTAATAATACAGAGAAGAAAGGAGGAGAAAATATATGGCTACCACTAAAGTAAGCAGTCCCATATTTTTATTAGTGTATAATTTCAACAGGTAGCATTTTCATCATATAGCAGTCTCATATATTAAATATATCCAAATACTAAACATACTAGTAGAAAACACACTGCCATTATTCAGGTTCATATTAACATTTGACATAAAAATTCCCATTTCTCTGACCTCTCAAAAAGTAGCCAGTGTAGTGGTATTCTCTTTCCTTAAACATTAAAGTGGGCAGGAAGATCTTGGTTTCACTTTTCCATCATCCACATGATTAAACCTTAGGCAGCCAGACTGTTATCTTAATGATGTATATAGGTAACTTATTTCCTTTTTTTTAATGTGTGTGTGTGTAATTTTTATTAAAAGAAAAATCAGAAATATGAACATGAAATAATAGAAAGTAAGATTAAAGAAAAGAAAAAGAAGAGTTATATACAGTGAAAAAGTAAGAAAAGTGTGAAAAGAAATACAAAAAGAAAAGATATATAAAGAAGCGACTTCTGATCTTCTGTACAGCATTTATAAACATCCTCTCTCCTTCATTAAAATGACATTATTATTCTCTTCTTCCTATAATCAACCCTTTTTAATCAGCAAATCCATAAATCACCAGTTCATTTTTTTCATTTTCAGCAAAAAGTCCATAAGAAGTTTCCAGTCTTTAATAAAAGTGCTTGTTGTCTTATTCCTGATCAAACAGGTCAATTTTGCCATTTCTGCAAATTCCATAATCTGTACAATCCATTCCTTCGTTGTGGGTATTTCAGTATTTTTCCATCTTTGTGCATACAGTAGTCTTGCTGCCATTACCATATAAAAAACCAATCTTCCATAAGTCTTTTCTAATTGGTTATCCATAAGTTCCAGTAATAACAGTTCTGGTTTCATCTGAATTTTAATCTTTAGAATTCTTTGTATCATAATATGTATTAGTATCCAGTATTTTTTTGCTTTTTCACAAGTCCACCATGCATGGTAAAATGGCCCTTCATGTTTTCCACATTTCCAACACTGATTAGAAGTACCTTTATACATCTTAGCTAATTTTTCTGGTGTCATATACCAACAGTACATTATTTTGTAAAAATTCTCTCTTAAATTCTAATACATTCTGAATTCAGTCCTTTTCACCACATTCTCTCCCATCTGTATATGTATAGCCAAAATTCTTAGCCCATTTTATCATGCACTCCTTAACTTTTTCCTTCATTTCACATCTCAGCAAAAGTCTATACATTTTAGCAATCACATATTTATCATTTGTACACGATTCAGTTTCAAATTCCATTTTATGTTTTTCAGTTCCAATTACTTTTTTATCTATATTGAATCCCTTTCTTAATTGTGCATATGAAAACTATTGAAAACTAAATTCCTCTGCAGTCAGTTGTTCTCTTGACTTTATCCCGTTGATTTATTTCAAAGTTACAGAGCTGCGCTTTAATTTTTTTTAAATAAGGTAAAATACATAGGAACATTCATCTTTGGAATGTTAATTAAATCTCATTGAACTTAGTGGGATGTAATTTTTAGACATACTTGGAAAGGTGGTGTTGGAGGATTTAGCAAACAAGCAATCTGAAACATTATTGTTAACATGCTGTAATTGTCTGATAAATAATTGGGTTACAAATGGAAATAGTTGTCTAAATGGACAATTTAGCATAACAAAGATGAATTTATGTTGAAAAAAATCAGTCATATAGTGGACAAGATATTGCCACATTTGTGGATTTTGTTGGCTTAAAATCTGGCTTTCTCATGGGAAAATATGATGGAATTAGAAAGTGCTATTAATTCAACATTTTATTTCCTGTATTTTATGAGAATCATTACATGTTCCAAGGATGTTAAAGTAGCAAAAATGAAGCAATGAAAAATATTTCATATTATTGACAAAATTTATAAATAAGGGTTTAGTTCATAATTTTAACAATTGGCATCACTTCCTAGGTTGCCTACAACCTTTGCAACTTTGGATATTGATGGGGTAAGAAAAATCATCTTTGCGCTCCCAGGTAAGGTTTATTAAATTTTATATATCTTCATGCTCATAAATATCAAACAAATTTTAAGTCAAATGTTCCAAATCTTCACGTTCCTTACAGCAAATATCTTAGTAATTTCTAATCTGCTATGTATCATTGCATCTTCCATGTAACAATATATGTACATGAGAATGCTATTATTTTTCTGAACCAAAAGTGTATTTTTTAAAATCCATTATGCTATTAGTCCTTCTTACTCTTTAGTTCATCAGATATGCCTGAAAAAAATTTTTAGAAACACTATTGATATGAAACACAATTTATGTCAAAGTAACAAATGTGCATGAAACCTTTTCCTTTTCTTTTTGTTGTTTGTAATGGTGTTGTGGCTTTGATATGTATGTTGAATACTTGTGTGAAAAGTAGACTGTAAATAAAATTTCAAAAGAATATGTATTATTGAACATGTCCTCTATGCTTAGAAGCTTGAAGTGTGCTATAGCAATGCAATATGTGTTCTTATTCTCCAAACAATTCTCAAGTGCTTATCAGACAACTGTTTCTTGATCTTTAGGGAATCCTGTGTCAGCAGTTGTTACCTGCAATCTTTTTGTTGTCCCAGCATTGAGGAAGATGCAAGGAATTTTGGATCCTCGTCCAACTATTATAAAAGCCAGGGTAAGAGTTTTCAAATACAAGGTGAGTTTTTGAGATGCTCTACCTAGATGGACCAGTATCACAGAGCTGAAGAAATAACCTTTAAATAGTCTAAAGTTCAAAGAACTTAGGTGAAATATTGCAAGAAGGGAAACATTAAAGAAATGCCTGTATGGTGAATCATAGCTATTGGGGATGGACAGTATTTGATGAGTAAAGCATTGATCTTACTATTCTTGTATTATTTGTAATAAAATATGGGTGCTCAAATTTTGTCAATAGAGTAAATAGTCTGAGGCATATTAAACAATTTGTTTCTAAGGAAAGAAATGCACAGTTCAGAGTCTTGGCCATGCAGCTAATCTGCAGTTTGAAACCTCGAGATCCTTGTTAGAGAGCAATTTGAAGTCCAACTGAGGCATAACTGAATTTTACATAGACTTAAATAGGATTCCCTTCCTGCCCCTCCTAGTCTTCTCTCTTTGGGCCAAATGGAAGAGTCAAAGTCCCTGCAGGCCTGGAATGGCTGATAAAAAGCAAAGAACAGCTCATCCCTGAAGAGTCTCTTGCCCAAGGAATGTCAGTGATGGACAGCTATTTGCTCCCCACCAACTCTTTTCAACCCTATGTGTTGTCTAACTTTCCTTATAGAAATCAGTGGTGAAAAAATATGTGGTTTGCAACGTGACAAGAGCATTGCAACTTACACTTAGTTTGTAAAGATTTATAAAGCTCCTACAGATCAAAATTTCACAGAGAACACTGAAATTTTCCACTTATTTTTTGAGGCAGAGAAACCATTCATTTATTCCTAGACTATAATCCTACTGAATTCCTTTTCTCTGTATTTTATTGTTATATCTCACCAATCTTATGTAATATTTCAGATTTGCATATTATTTTTTTAACACTCATAACTAAATATTTAATAGCTTTTATATAGGAGTTTCTCTTTTCCATTGCACTCTACCTCAAACTTTGTTTACTTGCTTGTGTTGCATTTGGCAACAATATAGTTTGGGGAAAGGGCCAAGGAACTAAGAGTAGGATAGACTCATAGAGATACTAAGAGTGAAGTTTGGGACGAAAAACCATGTTCACTTTTCTGGTCTATTCTAATCAAATTATTCCTCTCTGTGTTTTATACATGTTATTTGCATCCGTGAGCTAATCATGGGCCCTTGGAGAGGGGCATTTTAAATTGCTTAATGACATTGTATTTGCTTTGTGTGTTTTCTACAGTTATCATGTGATGTAAAATTGGACCCTCGTCCAGAATACCATCGGTGCATACTGACTTGGCATCACCAAGAACCACTGCCTTGGGCACAAAGTACAGGTTAGCTCTTACAAGTTCTTTCTACCTTTTGGACTTTTTGTTGAGTTCACAAGTTGTGGAACATGAAATATAAAGAAACATGAATGATGACTGGTACTTTCTCTAATTTTGAATGGCATGTAACATTTGAAACCATGAACCAAACCTGTAACATCTAAGACATTCCCCCCAACCTTTATCCTTCCTTGCTCCAAGTTCAGCTCATTAATCAGCTGTAAAATAAGCAAGAAACATGAATATCTTCTGATTGTTTCTGTCTCCATTACATGTCACAGCATATACAGTTATATTAACTAATTGATGCAACTTAGATCAAGTATCTTCTGTTTGTCTTTTGAAGTCTTGACATCAAATATTTCTTTGTATATAGAAAATATTTAGGATTGGGGGAGAGAACAGATTGAATTTTATTTATATATGTAATATTGAAATATTTACTTGACCATCAGAGAAACATCATTTCCTTTGAGAATTAAGTCATTCATAAAATAAGTGCTTCATGATACAAAAGTTCACGAAGCAGCTGTCTAGTTATGGAATGAAACAGGTATTTTAATTTTGCATCTGGATTCTTTATATACTTTGGAAAAATGATCATTTTGAGAATTAAAACAAGCTTAACATGCTGTCTTGCACCTTGGCATTATTGGACTATTTTAAATAACATTTTAAAAAATGAAGAGCAATGCACAATAACCCAGGATTGCAGAAAATGCATATGCACATTTACTTCTTCTTTACCTCTTCTTGGTACCATAACCTGTAAGTAAACCTGGAAGGGTTTGCTTATCATTACTTTCCAGTGCCCTTGACTTCTTCTTCCTAAACAATCCAGGGACTGTAAACAAGAATAAGCATTGGTGTGTTATTCTGGCTTGTAAGGAAAGCAACAAGGCATGGTATGTGCAAAATGCTAGACAGATTTTCCCAGATGATTTAAAGAAATGGGGGATGAGCAGAAGTGGTGTAAAACACAGTAAGTTCACGTTATTTAGAATCTTGTTTTCTATAAAAGTTTACTCTGAAGATCATGTAAATTCTCCCTTGAATAAAGCCCAATTGTTGATGACTTCATGGGCATGTCCATGCAGTTTGCCTGGCAGCAACACAGAAGTGGCTTGCCCTTGCCTTCTTCCAGGATGTTAGTCGAGCTTTCAGCCTTGGGATTACCTGGTTGCCTCCAAGTACTAACCAGGCCTGACCTGTTCAATTTCCAAGCCCAGTTAGTCAGTCAGATGCTGCCTTTTAAGTATAACTCAATTATTTCTCTCTTTGAGACAGAAAACATTTCATAGAACCATGTTTTTCTTAGATTTCCAACATTTCGTGATGTAAAGAAGTAAATTACAGGAAAATTCTGTTGTGTTTGAGATGGCACTGTCTCTCCTACTACTATAATCCTGTATTGCTAGTCAAGATATCATATATGTTGTGAGAGTCATTGAGAGCCAAGCAGCACACAAGTTTAATAACTTATTATTATTGGTCGCACAGTCACCCAGATGTTTAGACTGCATTTGTCATTTTTATCCTCCTATCAAGTCCTTCCCAAGGGCCTGGGATAGGCAGATGTTGTTTGATGATGTTAAAGGTACCATCACAGGATGTAAGCTGTTCCAAGTAAAGCTGCCTTTTGCAACTGACTGATGGTAATTTTGTCAATGCCGATGGTGGTGCTCCAGATGTTTCGGGATTGCACCCAAGGCATCTATTACTATTGGTACTATCTTTGCTTTCTTTTGCCACAGTCGTTCTATTTCTATTTGCAGGTCTTTGTATTTTGTGATTTTCTCCAGTTCTTTCTCTTCTCTTCTGTTATCTCCAGGTATGCCGATGGTGGTGCTCCAGATGTTTCGGGATTGCACCCAAGGCATCTATTACTATTGGTACTATCTTTGCTTTCTTTTGCCACAGTCGTTCTATTTCTATTTGCAGGTCTTTGTATTTTGTGATTTTCTCCAGTTCTTTCTCTTCTCTTCTGTTATCTCCAGGTATTGCAATGTCCATTATCCAGATTTTTTTGTCTTTCTTATCAACAGTTGTCAAATCTGGGGTGTTGTGTGGCAGGTGCTTGTCTGTTTGAATTCTAAAATCCCAGAACGCTTTAGCT